TAACAACAACAAGCTGACATTACATTTGGTTGAGAAACTCTCCTCTTGAACCCCTTCTCCATAATTACTTCATGCCTCAGGGTTGTCTCATGGTTTCCAGACAAAGCATGCTTTAGAAGGAAAGGCAGCCGTACAAATGTGGTTGAGGAAGATTACCTTAAAATAGCTGAAATCCAGTATGATATCCCCATACTTCTGCTGGTCAGCTCGGTCTTTTAACCTGAACACGGCAGGGATGAACTCAGAGAGCCTCAGAAGTTCAGCAATGATGGCGTTGCCACAGGAAACAATCCTCAGAATAGCTTGGCCACAGAGGTTGTTCTCAGCTAGAAAATCCAACATCGTGGGATGGCCAACGACTCTGTGCCTCACCACTGGGAATGTTTAGTTGGCTTCAGGGCTGCAGTCTGCAGCTGGTGAGATGAAACCAGGCCTGCTGATAGTTTGGCTGCTCCATTCAAGAACCTGTATCCAAAATGTTTTGTTTTTTTTTAAAAATGAAAATTATTTTTAAAGGAAGTATGTGTATACACATATGCAACACACACATCAATTTTTTTCTCCCCAACTCAGTAGAAAATTGTTGATAATGACTTCTGATCTGGAAGTCATGTTTTCCATGCCACACTCTTGGTCTTTCTCGAACTTTACGCACTTCTCCCCATGAGAGAAGACGTGCTATAGCTGATCTGTGGGCTGGGGAGAAGGACCCACTGGGCATGGTGGTTCTAATGTATCCTCAACTGCACACGCTCGCCCCATTGTGTGATACTTTAGCAAGTAATTGCAAACACCATAAACAAAGCTGGGAGGAGCATCCCTGTACATTATTTTAAGGCATTTGTCTACTTCTTTCCTAGAGATAGAACTGCATGTTCAAGGCTCTTTTGAAAAGTACAGATGCCAGATACCTCAAAATGCTGGATGGTTTATAAATGAAAGTGGTCCTCAAGTCGCCTATAATTGAGCATACAGGCAGCCAGCACTGTCAGAAGGATCGCTGCTTGCATCCTGGGGCACTGTACGAGAGTGGCTAGAGCACTCAGCACACGAAATCCTGTCCCTACGGCTGATAGGCCATTCTCCTGCAAAGTGTTAAAGGCAAGGATCGATCTCTTACCCAGGGAGAGGTGCTTCTTGCTGGGTACCTCTGCCAGGCTCGCGGTAAAGACGTTTAAGCAACTACACGCTAGTGCAGTGGTTCTCCAACCTGCCCACATCACAGAATCACTGGGAATCTTGGGGCTTCTGGTTAAGTAGGTTAGAGGCAGTCCTGAGTATCTCTATTTTTAACAAGTTCCCTGGATGATTCAGATGTAAATCTAGGATTGAGAAAGCCTGGTTTTGTGGAAGACTGCAGCAAATAAAAAGAAAATGACAATATTCATCTCTGAATCCTCTGTGCGTAGCGCATCCCCTGGCATTGATACATTTGAGAATTATATAAACTACAAACTGATTGACAGAAGAGGTGATGCCTGCCCCTACTCCAGCTGCTTGCAATACTCTGGGAGAAAAGCCTAGAAGCAGAAGTCAGAGAAAGGGAGGAAGTGCTTGAGTGTGCGGTCAAGATAAAGACTACAAAGTGGAGGAGCCATTACATTGTCTAGATAGAACCTTTAGTTGGTCTTCAGGAGCTCTGGTGGTGTAGTGCCTAATACATTTGACTGCTAACCAGAAGGAAGGTGGTTCAAACCCACCAGCCACTCCTTGGAAGATTGAGCGATCTACTTCCATAGAGATACCACCTTGGAAACCCAAGGGGTCACTATGAGTCAAATCAACTCTGGGAAAAGTATTCTTTATATCACAGGTGATCTTTCATAAAGTGGCATCTCCTAGGAATGTAGGACTAAACAAGGAAACCTAGGAGTTAGGAAAGATGCACTTATTTTAGTAGAGCACACTTAGAAACTTTTCTATGCCAAAGGATTGTAAGATGGATTTATAGTGCAGAGGGCAGACAGAGGGCTGATTTCACAGACATGCAAAGCAATCTCACAAGCAGACTAGAAGACAACAAATAACCCAGAAGAAAAAGGGGTGAAATATATAAATGGGGAGCTCACAGAAGAGTACTTGCGACACAAAAATGATGCACACACGTATGAAAGATCTTAACTCACTAGTAGTGAGTTACTACTATAAACTGGGAATGGCATTCAGGCAGAGATTATAAGGAATGACAAAGTCAAGCAAATGTGAAAAATCCCTTCACTGGCATTAGGTTGGCGGTGATTAGAAAGCGTAACAATACCTGTTCCAGGTAGGAAGTGGGGTTTTGAGTACTCACTGCTCGAGTGGTTGACGTGAACAGCATCGCGATGCTGCTATTACACTGCTTCATTTGCTACAGGCTGCACTGCACGGCTGCTGCACTGTACAGTGATGATGGCTAGTTTTCTATCCTATGACTGCATTTTTCTCCTGTGCCTCCCTTTTCAGCTGTTCCCACTGATGGCTAAATTTTTTGGACAGAAATTGTGCCATTAGTCTTTCTTTGGAAAAAAGATTACTATGCCCTCAAACCCTTAAAAGTGGGTAAGGCAACTACCTCTAAAAATGTTTTTCTCATATGTCAAGTATAGGATGTCCTTGTTATTGAAGCTACTTCATAGTTGAGAAATGTTACAAAGTAGTTCTACAATGAGGACCAAAATTTCATAATAAGCAGTGGAAAAAGTATTCTGATATAATTAAAACTAACAAGAATAAGTTTTACATTGTAAAAACTTCAGGGTAAATTTGCAAAAATGATGTACTAATTCATTGGACAAACCAAGAGTTGATTTATTTTGGGGGAGTAGATGATTTCACCAAATTATGACTTTGATAATACAATATTCTGTAGTTCATAGTGGACTTTGACAGCATGATTTTAAAATGGTAATTTTTGTGAAAAAAGTTTCAAGGCATCATTTGTTTTCCCATAGGTTCTCCTGATACTTTTTCAAACCATCATCTTTGGAAGTGTTAACTGAGTCCATCTTTGCTGCATGTCTTGTCTCTTACTCTTAATGTAGCAGGTTGCTATCTGTCAAATTCACAGAAGCCTGTGTCTTTTGTACCACATGCACTTTCACTGTACACTGGTATTATACTATATCTACACATTAACAATTAGGAAGCCTGGACAGCAAAGATACGCATTTGACCTCATGGACACCGCTGACAGGAGTATTTGAGTGAAAGTGGTCAGCTCAATACCATTTTATGTCAATGCCATCTTTTACTTCCACAAGAATTCTTATAAGTACATGGACTCAGACAGTGAATACTGAAATAAGGAGGACTTCACTGTATATAAAACCAGAATGTGGAAAGATTACAAAAAGACTGTCACTTCTAACTTGGGCACCTTCTGTAGCTTGCTTGCCATGGGGGAAGCAAACTGCCATGTGTGAGAAAGCTCTGTGACATGAGAGGCTCATGTGACAGGGACTGAGACCTGCCAACAACGATGTGAGTGGAAGTGGGTTTCCCAACCCCAGTTAAGCCTTCAAATGAGAGTACAATCCTTGCTCACAGCTTGACTGCAATCTCATGAGAATCCCTGAGGCCAAACCATCCAGTCAAGTCATACTCTCCATTTCTAAACATAGACAATGTGAGATAATAAATGTTTATTGTCTTATGGTACTAAATTTTGAGGTAGTTTGTTTTACAGCAATAAATAATTATCTGGCAGAACGGCATTCAGGCAGAGATTATAAGTAAGAGTAAAGACCTCAGGGAAGGAATGTGCTAGATATATTTAAGGTACAGCAAGATGGCTGATGGGGCTGAAGCCCAGTGAGGAAAGGACAGAAACAGAGATCAGGGGAGGTAGACGGGGTCGAAGTTGAGAGAAAAGAGAGATGAAAGGCCACTAAACTGTCTAGAACTCTCATTCCTCAGGGTATCCTATAACACACATTACAGAAAAAAATACAGTAAACTCAATGCCGTCAAGTTGGTTCCAATTTAAAGGGACCCCCTTCTTGGGTTTCCGAGGCAGATCTCTATAGAAGGAGATTGCTCAGTCTTCCTTCCGAGGAGTGGCTGGTAGGTTTGAACCACCAGCCTGCTGGTTAGCAGTTAAATGCCTTACGCACTATGCCACCAGAGCTCCTACAATACACAGTAAGGCATGAGTTTTTAACAAATCCTTTTCATTTTCTCTGTGCTGTTTGCTTGTTAAACCACACTGATCCCTAACAGGCTGAATTTCAGTTAATTGTGAAAGAGAACACTTACTTTTCTGTACTGATGGACTGGTGTGGGAAAAGAGAGAGGAAAATGGAAAATGAAAAGACAATGAGCAAATTAGTGCCCCTCTGAAGACCACCAAACTAATCCAGCAGGTCTCAGCAGGTTGAAATGCTACAGACCTTCACAGAGAGACAAGTTATAATGAACAGGTCTAACTGCTACCAGATTATGGACACCAATGTAGGGCAGACAAGGGGCCCAGGTTTACAGCAAAGCAAGTTAATTGTCCTCTTCCTCACTCCTTTCCAAGAACCAGACAGACAGACACACTCTACACCTGCAAACACATGTTCGGAGAAGCTCAGGTCTCAAGTTAAAAACAACACTAACTGAGAGAATGACATAAATCAAGACTTTTGCATGTCAAACTCTTATTTTAATCCTTATGCCTTAACCCAAGTACACCATAGCCAAATTCCAGAAGAACATTAAAAGAGTAGGACAATAATTACATGTGTTTGGCAACAGTGAAAGAAATGTTATGGATCTTTAACACCTAGGTTAATTACCTTCTCTAAAATTCTAAAAAAAACAAATGTTTAGTTTGACATTTTTAAATAGAAAAGCAAGATGTGTTACATTTAATGGATTTTCAGTGAAATGTCTACAATTTGTCCCAAATCATGATGAACACTTGAGTTTTCTTTCTCTCACACTGCTAGCTTCTCTAGCTACATTTTTGATTGAACAAGCTAAAACAAGATTAACTGAGAGAAGAAAATCACTTAGTTACATTATTATGTCCAAGACCTTGTCATGTGCACTAGTTCTATTTTTCATGTTAACCAATGGAATTACTGCAATTTGCATCAATATTTAGCTAGAGTATTTGGTAAATAGCCCCTCTTATTGGCAGAAAATCTGGCTCTGAAGAATAGAACCTAAGAGCCATCATTAAAGATGCCCAAACACCTTACCTCCATCTTAAGAGTTAGGGAACTTTATAGAAAGTGTTAAGATTTAGTTGACTTTTTTTTAAAAAGAAAATCACTCCAGAGTGAGGGGAGGGGGCAGTGGTGGTTCAGAGGTGGAACTCTTGTCTTCCATGTGGGGGACCCGGGTTTGACTCCCGGCCAATGCACCTCATGCACAGCCACCACCCGTCTGTCAGGGCAGGTTCGCACATTGCTAGGAGCTCTGCTAGCACAGTGCCTAAGGCACCTGACTGCTCACCAGAAGGCTGGCGGTTCAAACCCACCAGCCACTCCTCGGAAGGAAGGTTGGGCAATCTACTTCCGCAGTGATACTGCCTTGGAAACCCATGAAGGGGTCGCTATGAGTCGGGGCCAACTCGACGGCACACAACAACAACAGAGCTTCTAGACTAAGATGGAGGAGGAAGAAAGGCCTGGAATTTACTTCTGAAAATCAGCCAATGAAAACCACATAGATCACCACAGTCCAATCCGCAACCAATCACGAGGACAGCACAAACCTGGCAGTTTTGTTCCATTGTGCATGGGCCTGCCATGAGTCAGGGGCCCAGTCAATGTCAGCTAACAACAACAATGAAGTAAAGTGAAAAGAAATCACAGAAAAAGCTGTATTCAACCAGCCTTTGAGAGGTTCTGGATGCTAGAGATCAAGAAAATTCAGAAAGACTGGTTTTCTCAATATAGGCTGTATTACTAACTCAAATCGATGTATACGAATTGTGGTTTTGGCAAAGCATACTGAAAATACCATGGACTTCCAGAAGAAAGAATAAATCTGTCTTGCAAGAAGTAAACCCTAAACGCTCCTCAGAAGCAAGA